ACAAGATCAAGCCCAGACATCCGCGATCCCTGATGACCGAGCCTGCCGCCCAAGGATCCAAGAGGAAGGCAACAGAGGGCGAAGGTGACGGTCTTGGTCAAGTACCAGACCAAGCCCAGACATCCGCGATCCCTGATGACCGCCTGCTCCAAGAGGAAGGCCAGAGGGCGAAGGTGACGGTCTTGGTCAAGTACCAGACCCGAGCCGAAGCTCTCAGCCCAACGCTGAGAAAGAAAAAGAAGCAGCGAGTGATTGATGGGCGGAGAGCGGCGCTCGGATTCCTAGTCTCAATGGAAAAGTGCATGGGAGAGATGGGGATTTGCATGAGATGCGCGAACCTGGCCCACGACGGCGACTGCAAGAACTATGAGGAGGCTGCTGGGAATGAGAAGGCGATGAAGAAGATCCGTGAACTTCTCAGCAGCGATCATGTTTCCTCGGATGAAGAAATGGGGGATACGGAAGAGCCGTCCTCATCAACGTCCAAGGAACGCAAGAAAGGAGGACAAGCAGGGAAAGAAACAATTGAAATGTATAGCTATACCATCAACCTGGTGGAGATGGCTGACACGGCTGAGGGAGGAGAGCTACAATGCGGTGGCGTGGACCTCACCCACAATCCGTGCGGGGACAACAGAACGTTCAAGACGACGCTGGAGCGAGGATGTGACACCATTCCATGCTACATCCCGAAGTACGGCGACGTGAGTGACGTGCATATGCCATGGGCGCACGCGTCTATTGTTGACCCCAAGTACTTTCCCAAGGGTGCCAACCTTGAGCAGGTGGATGTGATGCAGCTTGGCAAGAGCATCAATTTCTGCGTTGCTCCTTTTGACGGTGCTCCACTATGCAAGATTGGCGACGATCGCTCGGTATTTGCCACGAAAGATCAAGCAAACCAGCTATCTCACAACCTATGCAGAGTCCTTCGGCACAAAATCGGCAATTGCCGAGGAAGTGTATTCAGATGCGACGAAGGTGGATGGGTCGACATCGACGCGGTCATTGACGACCGAAACAACGACATATTCCCACCTTCAACCTCGAGAGCAAAACGATACATGGGTATCATGGAAGTGATCAAGTGGCAGGAGTCTGGACATAAGAAATCGAGATTTCAGGTCCTGGCGGCAAGATTTCCAAGCATCATGAACCCGAATGACATGAAGGCGGCCAGGGAGGAGATGAACAATGCTGGCCTGGATCGGGATGACATCGACAGGATGTTCAACAGATGCGATGGATGGTACAGGCCTTGGTGCATCCGGATCACAACTGGTCACAGTGATTTTGGATTCATGAGCTCATCCGCACTGGCAAATAGGTATTCCGCAAGAATGGGTGATTCTCTCGGAGGAGCATTCCATGTGACATATGTGGAGAACCTGCCAAGCATCGTACGCTGTGGGCTAGTCCCCGGCGGTATCGATGGCGGAAACAGGCTAGCACTGCACTTCGGAGCATTTGCTCCATGGGATGAGATGAACGTAGCAACGAAGGTGACGCTACGAAACGTAAGGACGGGGGATCCGATTGCGATCATCTACATTCCCAGTGCAACCCTCGCGCGGTATGGAGCTGGAGTCGCGGCAAATGGGACATTCATGGTCTTTGACGTGATCCCGTTCTATGAGGTCAAGTCCATTTGGATTGGCAAAAGCAACGGAGGGAAGAGCCTGGAGTACGGAGACATCAAGAGAGCGTACTCGAAATGTGTGGAAAACGAGATCTGTCCGGGTTTCGTCAACTCATCCCAGGAATCGGCTGCGATGTTCCTGCAGAACGTCGCGAAGATCAACGAGAGGATGCCTGAGACCGAGGCAGGTGCCGACAATCTGCACTACATCAAAGACATGGTTGATCGTGCATGCGAACTTTATCGGGATAACAAGCTGGAAGAGTTTGATGCGCAGACCAACGAGGTCAGGGACGAGATCAGCAAAGTCGTCATCCTGAATGACGAGACATGGGAAGGACTGAGGTGCCGGATATGTCCGTCATGTGCGACCGCGATTCCCACATGCTTCTGCGTGTGCCTGGAATGTGGAGCGCAATTGATCTCTACCGGGAGATTCTACATCCACATTAGTTCCGACGACGATGAGGACAACCAAAAGCCCAATGTCTCGGGTGATGCCAGGCGCGCACAAGAAGAAGCCAACCATGATGCGGCAGCACAGGAAGAGGATGATGAGGCGGAGGAAGTTCCTGAAGAAGACGACATGGACACGCAAGGATACACGTCCGGCTACATGTCTGAGGAGGAAGATGGCGGTTGGCAATACCGCGACAATGACTTGGCATCACGGGATATTATAAATACCCAGCGGATGGCGATTTGCCTTGATGAGCCGCGCGAAGCTCAATACATGGCGGGATTCATCGCACTGCAGATGTCAAAGATGTGGGGGATGTTCGAAGGTGGTGAAAAGAGAACGATGAATGCCGCGCTCGAAGGGAAGCCAGGCTGCCCATACCACAACGACTTCAAGAAGTACCCCAACATGACTGAGCACGATCAGGAAGGAATCCTGTTGCCGTCGACGGTACTGAAGATTTCTCAATCTGAGAATGTTCGGACAAGGATCTTCCGGTCGGCTGAGGAGCGCAATGAATACATTCGTCTGATGGTATACAAGTGCGAGGGGCTATACATATTCTACAAGCTGTGGATTGCAGCGAGAATCCTCGACGTCACCAAGGACGAAATGAAGCTCCTGGTCAAGGATCGCGTGCACCCGGTGGGTGATATTATTTACAGATGCTTTTCTCTGGCTTTCAACTGTAAGTATATATCGTTCGTGAGGGATGGCTTGAACCTTGGCAAATATGGTTATTCGGTAAATGTGAGCGCCATTATTGCGGCCACTGACCCGAATAAATGCGACACACCTCTGCTGGATTGGTGCCTCCGAATGGGGCATTGGGTACCAGAAGATCATCACCAGAAGTGTGTCCGGGCGCGAGAAGCCCAAAAGAACTTGGACGAAGAGTTCCGTCGACGTACCCACAGACTGTCCATTGGAGACAGGTATGCGTAATGCAGATGTTGATTGCGGCACGATGTGGGCTAGTCCCCGTCTGTTGCTTGCGTCTCATCAATGTTATCGCGATGGAACGACTCTACATCATGATATGATTTCATGCGTCCAAGATGAATGGATGTGTATACATTTACATATTCCGACGACTATGACATTCCGGATATTCATGGATGGAACTATTACCTCATGGATGATTTCCTTTTCATTATATATTATTCATGGTACCTGGAATGGCTATGTTTTGCATTGATTGCTCACCGATATTTCTTTGCCGGTGATATGCAGATTGCTTACGAGCAGGCGCTTCTGTTGAACTTCTGTGGCCAACCCATCTCTGTGGATGACGGCTGCGCGATGCGCAAATGCGGCAGCTGGGAGGTTCAATGGTGGTTAAATGACGTGACGATAGTGTATACATTACACCTGCATATGGGGACGTGCTACGATCTGCGGATGCATGTTTCATTTTCAATCGAACCCGGCATGTTTCACAATGAATGAACGGTGTAGCGATAGCGAGTGAAAGAGTGTTCGACACAGTTTCGTAGCTGAAGCCGTGGCCAGTGGAACGTTTTGTGGTGTTTGGACCGCATGATGAACGATGCGACCCAAATGGGGGATGTTAAAACCCTCCTGGCCCCGTGCCTAAATTGGGAAGCAGTTCTGAGGTCCGTGTTTGTGTTGCTTACAAGGTTCCATTGATTGCCATTTGGCTCAAGACACAAGTGAGGTTCAAGATCTTATGTGTAGCTGCGTTCATACGTGATCGGCAATTGAGAGCGGAAAACACTTCGCTTGCGCTGCATTTGTCAGGACCACTGTTGTAACTATTATTCCTTCTCCCTTACAACATTTGCACGGGTTCGGCTATAACGGCTTTGACCGTATACACCTTTCTACGTGGTTGGTATTACAGCTGGAGGGTTCGGTGGACAGCGTCCCACGGGACGTCACCTTGCCGTCTCTTGACAGTGTGTGTGTGTGTGCGTGTGCGTGTGTCCGTGTGTGCGTGTGTGCGTGTGTGCGCGTGTGTGCGTGTGAGCGTGTGTGCGTGTGTGCGTGTGTGCGCTTGTGCGCGTGCGTGCGTGTGGGAGAGGTGTGTGTTTGTTTGTTTGTTTGTTTTGTTTTGTTTGTTTGTTTTTGCTTGTGTTTGTTTGTTTGTTTGTTTGTTTGTTTGTTTGTTTGTTTGTTTGTTTGTTGTTTGTTTGTTTTTGTTTTTTGGTTTTTGATCTGTCTGTCTGTCTGTCTGTCTGTCTGTCTGTCTGTCTGTCTGTCTGTCTGTCTGTCTGTCTGTTTGTTTGGGGGCAGCCTTGGTGACGATCTTCTCGGGAGAGGGCATAGTTTCTCGACACAAACCAACCACTCATTGTGTTTTGACGCGTAGTCAAAAAGTATGCAGTTAGGGTAATTCGAGGGAAACAAAAGGAACACCAACTATTTTGAGGGCCCCCCCCCGATTCATAGGCACATGCTTTTAGTGCTGGAAAACGACGAACGTTCACACATTTCGGCGTGTGTGTGTGTGTGTGTGTCCAGTTTTTTTTGTCGGGGGGGGCTATGTTGACCATTTCGAAGCGAAGCGAGTTGCGACTTTCCCCAGGTGGACAACGGGCAAATCGCCTGGCTGAAGGGATCCGAACAGGTGACATCTAAGCAGTTGCAGCTGTTGCACCATCATTCTGAGGCTACCTTCCAAGTTCATTCTTTCCAGGGATCCTTTAGAAAACCTCCGGAAATTGAAAAGAACCCATGGTTGAAGAGAATGGGGAATCAGTGATTGTTTCACTGACCAAAACTGTTTGACGCCTGAAACGCTGGCGAATGTCCTTTGGGGCTCTGGGCACCGGTTCTTCAAGCCCAAACCTGCAAAAGCGATCGCGACCCATTTCACCTCTTGATTTTTGCTGTAAAGACATGCCGGGCTTGAAAAAGCCAACAGGCCCGCGGACCGAGGCCTATTTGGATATCCAGGTGTTGACCTACAACGCACACCAGGCGAGCTGTTAGGAGCAAAAAGGTTGGGAGCTACACCAAGCTGTTCCCTGTTCAAGATGGGGACTCGGATATGGGCGTGTCGTTTTGTGTTGCTGTTTCTTTTCGGGGACCCCCCAAATGGTTGTGTTCCTGTTGTTAAACCAGCTCAATAAAGGGTTCCAACTCAGACAAGAACAGACCCACATGAATTGTTTTCCAAAGGCTAGACCTTCTTAACGAACGCATATTCGTCATACTCCCCCCGTGTAGTTTCTGACCTCCGCCAAATGGTCACCAGTAGGTCCAAAAACCCTTGGCTTCATTGAGGCAAAGGAGTACTTGACGGCATGACTCTCGAGTGAATCGCGTTCGCACTGCATGACACCATGTTTGACATACTTTCTGCATGCTTGACATGCTGCCGAGCATGAACATCCTCACTTTGTTGTGCTTTTGAACAGTTGTGACCTGTGGAACGTCCATTCTTGCATCCTGAGCTGGAGATGTGATGTTGGCGTCTGTTTCTAAATTTCTTCCAAACTCACATCCCAAGCAAGAAGAGCGCCGTGGGCGACCCCTTCGACGTCTTCCGACAATTAGGCTCCCTACTCTCGGTGGTGGCAAAATCCAGACAGCGCACCTAAGATGGTGAAGAGGTCCCAGGCCTCATGACACCTGCAAATCCTTGAGTCAAGTAAACGAGCGCCCCTTTTAGCTGGGGTATTGCGCTGAGCGAAGTTGCTTGGGCAGGCGATGTTCTTCTTTGGCACAAATCGTTATCAGTGGATGGAGTCTGGACGCTTCATCATTCGAGATGGTCCGAACGAAGCCTTTGTCGACGGACCGTACTTCAACCTCTTGTACGCGGTCCCGGATTTGATATTTATACTAATGCGCCCTGTCGGAATGGAGTCCAGATGGACACTGAGACGTTTGTTAGAGACTAAGCGAGTACATTTACATGCTGTCAGGATGCACACGATGCATGGCACGGTGCCGCACAAGGCGTTAGGGGACAATCCCCTTGCCATAAATAGGTGTGGTGATTTACATGGTTCTGGACCACTTTAATTCCAGGTTTGATTGTGCCTATGACACGTCCTAGGCTCTGGGGAATTCTCTACGGTGAGTTGAAGGAAGCCATCCCCGCGGCAATGAACGGCCTGGACGGAATCAAGGCTTGGGCGAATTGGGTACTCAACCCCTATGCCCAGCCCCGAATTTGTTCCGCCTGGAACATACAGGCAGGAGGTCCGCTGAAGCCTTAGACTTGGTCCACACCCATTTGCAGACAACTCGCTGTTTGCATTTGAAGTTTCTAGTATCGTAGCATGTCTCGGAATCTTCTGTTTCCGAGATGCAATCAGAGCATGACTTTCTTCGTAGGCCATGGACCCACCCCCCAACAGGCATTTCATGCATTTATTGGAGTCAAAGCTGCGCCCTGGAAGGACTATTTGGCATTCTGGAATGTGGTGGATTGGTTTGCCATATGCTTCGGCATCACCACTGTGCGCCTTGCCAGCCAGCGCGAGGGGTTGGGTTTACTACCTGAGAGCCAACCCAAAAAAATGTCCGCGCTGCAGTTCAGAGCGGTGTGTAGCGTGGGTCAACCTGCGGGATCATGTAGCCTTTCCCTTGACGAACATGATGAATCAAGGATATGCATACATATATGTAAACATACACATTCGCAGATATTGAAATCTTAGATTTAGGATTGAACGTTGCTAAGTACAGTTGCCGCAATGATCGTTGATATTGACAGTAAAGTAGCACTGGCACAACCTGTATTCTATTCTCAGCACGGCTGACTAATGAACGAAGTGAAACAACAACGGCACCATTATCCATGATATATTTGATAATCTTAGATTCTTGGCCATTTGTGTTGAAACACCACAACTGCGCTATGCTTCCAGGAATACAACTTTTGGCTCGCACAAAGTGCTACGACATTTGTGTACTGTACGCAGTAGTGTTCTGCAAAACTGCTAGCTTTGTTTGTCCTCCTCTCAAGTGGGATTTCCCATTGAACCTGCAACAGCTTCCACTCCGATGGAAGCTTTTCGAAGGCCTCTGTAAATGACACCAAGTCATTTTTCTTTTGGGGGGGGGTCCTGGGAGCTTCCACGTTTGAGGGAGCGGCCTCTTGGTCAGGGAAACCCAGTTGCCAAAGAAGTCGCGGGGCATGCGCATCACCTAAGAAACCATGGATTTGATTCCATGGTTCCTTGGTATTTCCAGGGGAATGGAATGATTCTTGGGTCTCTAGCTGGCGCGCAGTCCCAATGCCAGGTGCTTCTGGCTGAACTTTGTTCTCGCTGTGGGGGGCCTCCCGAAGCTTTTGTCCACCTTGCCCTCTGACGCCCTGGACCTTGCGGTCTTTTCCAACCAGTCCTACCTCGAGCGCCATGTGGCTTCGGCGTCGTTTCGGTCGGAGTCGGGGAGTCGGGGAGTGCATGGCCGGTTTTTCGGGGTCCGATTTGGTGTTTCCTCGTTTCGACCCTTCGTGGGATGTGGAACTCATGGGCTTCAACTTGTGCATGTGAAATCTACTGACCCGTGCTGTGGGTTGCCGCTTTCAATGATACCAAGGTGATAAGAGAGCGATAGCCCACTGGCATATCGCCCAAAGGTTTCCCACAGTCATGATTGAAGGCCAACAGAGGCGACCAAGGAATGTGTGGCAACAAGGAGATCGTAACTGCTGAGCCCAAAAAGTGTTTGTTGATGGCAAAGCAACCGCAAAACCCACATCAACAAACACATACATTTTCGGGGATTTGTATTTGGTTGTTGTATATGTGTTCACTCTGAAAAACAATTCAACAAAGGCAAAACAAAGTCAACACAGCGCAGGGAAGTGAAGTCAAGTAATGTTGCGAGGACATGTCATGAAGCTTCAACAAGTCAGCGGTCCCTCTTTGCAGAGCCCCTGACAACCATGGGAATTCTTCCGCCATGTTCAGAAACAGCTTGTGTGCCAGTCTCAGAGAGCACCCGTTAGCCTCACAAACCTCGGTACCAAGCTTCCGTCCCGATGCGCCTCAGGAGTTCAACGGAGTTGTCGACAGGCTTGCGCCTTGGCCAAAAGTTGTCCTGTGTTTTACCATCCTTTCCTTCTAGTATCCTTCCATTTGGTTAAGAATATTTGTTTATTTTCCACTGTTGGTTTGAAAGGATAAATCTATCACTGCTGGATTTTTTTTTCCAGGGGACTTGAGCAAATGGAGGTATCATGTCCATGTCCGCAATGGCGGTCCCCCCTTGCCCCGTGTCTGCTTTTCTGGCTTTCATCCCGATTTCCAGTTTCACCCGCCCCCTTGAGGGTGGAGATAGTGGGGTCCCCACAGGACCCTCTGCCCTCCCATCTTCCGGCTCCAGAATGTCCCCAAAATTCCTCGCAGATCCAGCTTCGCAAGGTTCCAAATCTGTATCAGAGATGCCAGAAACAACAATATCCTGCTCACAGAGAACCAAGTAACACATGTGGGTTGAGGCTCTCAGGCCTTCATGGCAGTTGTGAATGAGTTGTCTGGTGTCGCAACACAGAAACGAGGAAGAAATCAGACACACATGTACAAATGTCTTGCCACTCATTGCATCCCGATCCGGATCTGATGCAGATTGCGGTTTGTACATTGTGTGCTTGGCGCATATTGCCTGAACTGCCATAGCCCTCTAAAATGTAAATACTGGGTTCTTGTTTTGACTCAGATTGAATGTCAAATCTCATGCGAGGCTACCATGTGGCCACTGCACCTGGCCATAAAATGCAAGGCCGTGAAATGGTGAGAAATTCCAGCCCATCCTGGAGAGAACACGTGTCATTTGAAAGCAATACGCAATCCACGGTGAACCGTGAGTGATCATACTTGCAGAACCATCGTGCAATAATGTAGGAACAAAACATGGAATGCGCACATTTGCAAGTTGTTCTTGATTCAACAAAGTCATCGTTGACATCCGCAAGCGATGCTTTATTCGTTGCCTTCTCTTTCGAATACTTTCTGCGGACCTGGTTTCTGGCATGCTCTTGGAAATGTTCAAGGAATGATGCCTGAGTCCCTGGATCCCAGAAGCCCAGTTGCGAATACTTGCGATGAGTTTGCAGCTTGCAAACCGCAAAACTCCGAATGACTCTGCTCGCGATGTTCTTGGACCTGTCCCGATGTTGAAGCCAATGTTGAAGCCAATGCCTTGCAAGGGACGCAAAACGGCTGAGTTTTCTCTGGAAGGCCTCCAGAGCGATCCGACTTCAACATTGAATTTGGGGGGGCCGGCCGGGGAAAAAGGGGGGCCTCGCAATCGTAGAGATTGAGCATCTGGTCTGCTTGCGTTTGACGATCCTTTTTGAAGTGTACGTTGTCAGTCAAACTATAAACTGAAACTAGCGCCTACAATCCTCTTGCGAACCCTTGGTACAAGAAAATGCCGCAACGCAAACCATAGCATGATGCATAAAACAAGAAAAGCACGGGCTTTCCACAATGCATGTACGGCGCACGCCACAGTGCAGGGGCATTAAAGCAGCGCTGTCCCTCAAAGTTTGTGAAAATGAAATTAAGACCATTAAATGCATATGTGTATTTGATGTTTGCACCAGTTTTGCAAATACGAGGTGTTCGCAGCACTTTAGGACCCTGTGCTGTGTATTGTACGCGTGCGCAGTGTATATCCATGCGACGTCGCGTCTCAGGAGTTTGAGCAGCAGATGGCGGATATCTTCAATTTGGCGGAGGAAACTTCTGAGGCTCACAGGATTGCACGATGGATGATCCTGGGCTACCTTTTTGTACTCATGTTCAAGTTCTTCAAAGCCTTCAGACGCTGGGCCGAAGAGCTCTCGTTTGCTTGAGGTGGGAAAGAATACGACCTGCAAACAATAAGAACTCGCGTTGTCAGAGTTGCTTGTACGCTGGCTTCAGTGTGCGTGCGCCCCATGTCCCAGTCAATTTGCCATGTTTGTGGAGTTTGCAGGGTGAAGTTGGGGTTGGCCGCTAACGAATGTAGGATGCTATATATTGAGACAGCCGTTTCAGGGATTCCACACTCGTCCACACTGCTAGTCGGTTCCTTTCCTTTCTGAGCAGACATGAACCTCAAACTTAACCCAAGATTCACTCATTTTATGCGGTTGCCCTTAGCTAGAAGTGTCAGGGGCAACCTGGTGCCAATGTTTGCTCCAGTGATGTTCTTAGTCACCCCTTGTAGTCTGCTTCACTCGTAGGTCATGAATTTCCCCCTACGGCAAACAGGACAGGCGTGCTGCCTTTTTAAGGGGAAACCCTTGGCAGCCAACCGAATGTTCAACCCATTTTGTTAGCCCCTAAGTGACCTTTGGGAGTGCGTTTTAATTGGGGACCCCTTGGTGGGCATCATTTAGGTGGGATTTATGGCCACATCCCACTTTCAAGGGGGTTCCCTATTAACACTCAGGTCCAAGTGCCAAAACATTGCTACCAGGGCAAACTCAGGGGAGACAAACCCATGAGGTCAACGACCGACTGCTTAGTCGATCCTCAGCTGGATGCTGGGTTCCAGCCAAGAATTTGTGCCACTTTGGTATTGTGAACTTGAAGGATCAATCACCTTGGTATTCTTCCGGGGTTCCCCTAGGAAAAGGATCCCGCTTACTTCAGTGAGATCCCACCGAATGGATCCGAAGTGCGGTTCGGATTTCTGAATTTATCGAACGATCGAAGTGGATCATTGAAGCGCCTTGGAAGACTGCAATCCTCTTGAAGCACACCCAGCCGTCAACTTCTATGATTGGAAAGAGTGGGTACCTAGGATCCAATGATCGGCTGGACGTTGTGATCCAGACGATCACGGACTCCGCGGTGGATGTCGCTCACTTCGCCTTCGCATTTGCGTTGGCCCCTTGTGCAAGAATATTCCCCCACCTTCCATTTGGTTAAGAATATGTTTTATGTTCCCCTGTTGGTAAAGGGAATCTATTACTAGATTTTTTCCCGGGGGACTTAAGCAAATGGAGGCCACCCATGGAGCAAAAGACCCCGGGAGGCTACCTGGGGCCTCAACATTGGGCAACATGCCCGGGTGACACTTCAGGGCCCCGGTTTTGGAGCCCTTTGCAACGGCGGAACAAAACGGGCGTCTCGGGAAAAGTTGTTTGTTTTTTTTTCTCAACCATGGCATCGGTTCTTCTCCTAAAAGATCGAGGATCAATTCACAAATTCGTTGAAAAGAGCGACAGTTGAAAGGAATAGACCATATTTCAATCCGTAGATTCCGTACATAACCCACCATTTGGTACCCTTCCCAAACACACCCCCTGAGTTTGGCTCATATTCCCCAGCATCAACCCGTTTGTGGGTTCGGTTCCCTATTTCGGATGGACACAATTAGCTTCGCACCAGGCGGTAGGTGGCCATCCCCACTGCCTGGCGTGGATTTGGTCCATCCACAGGGAAACCACAGGTGGGACAATGCAAAGGCACATCCGCCTCCAAGCTGGCGAATCGCTCCCGCTTGAGGTGTTTTCCGGCTTCGCGTTGGGCGGGATGATGCTCTTCGGCACCAAGGTGCAAGGCTTCCACACGCTGGTCTCCTCCCTGTGCCGGGGCGGAGAGAGAGAGAGAGAGAGAGATCCAGGGGTGCCAATGGTACCATTTTAGGGTAGGTGCACCCCATTTTAGTCTATTGTGGTGGGGATTGGGATGTTCACTGGGGGTGCGGGCTTTTGACCCATGGCCACATACCTCTTGGGCATGAACCCAAAAGGCTTGCTGATGTTCATACCCCTTTTCCCAAAAGGGCTATGTACCGCTTGTCAAGTGGGTTAGAAACCAGGGAAGCCAAGGGGGAAGGAACACGGGGTATGTACTTCCACCCTTTGTCACGATCAATCCCTGTGCCCAAGCAAGTTTCGGATAGAACCGGGGCATGTGACTGAGAAGCAAACCTGGGTAACTACCAACGAGGTGCCGCCAAAAAACCCAGGCAGCACTTGGCTCACACTGTTCCCCTCAATCGCCTGGAGTTCCATGGCATCAAGTCGCTCAGTGCTTTACACCATAGTTGTGTCCTTTTCTTTGGAGAGGCGTAAATCTTGAAAAATGCGGAACAGGGCGCCTTGTTTGTGGTGTCTCTGAATTTGCCGGAGCTTCGACGTTTGACGCTGGGGAATTTTGAGGTTCTTCTGCTGGCGCGGTGGCATCGGCATGGACGATGTGGAGAGCTTCGAAGTTTGGTTCCAGGCGCCTCAGAGAGAAGTTCAAGGGCCTGCCGTGACTCATCTGGGTGAACTATAACTACCTCACACCACCTCACCGCAAATGGTGGTTTATGTGGGGAATAGCCCCCCAACCACCTTATTTCAGGTTGGTGAAATATTATGATTCGCCCAGACTCATGGGCCTTTTGGAGAAATGGATTTGGCTGTGGGTCAAAAACCAATGGGATCCCATTTTGGGATAGGTGAATTAACCACCTCATTTTAGTCTATTTTAGCGCGGGGGGGGATTGGGATGTTCACTGGGGGTGCGGGGTTTATAGCCAAATCGATTTGGGTTTCCCTGGGAAAGGGGGCATAGAGCAAGCAGTAGGCCCTTTGGCTACAGTGGCCCCTGATGCGAGACATGCATGCGAAAAATTATGTGCTGCATGGGACATATCTTTGTGTGCAATGCAAAGTTGGATACGAGATACTTGTCCATTGCGCGCTCGTAGCGGCTGGGAGCGTGACATAGTCCACCGTGTTTTCCTTACTATCAGCCTCTGAAGTGAAAAGGAGCAGAGTTATCCTTTGGAAACTCTCATTTGTTCAAAGCCGACCTTTTGACCTTTTGGTTTTCTCGTTTTGGTCCATATTTAGTCATGGCCCCAAAAGCTTAACCTTTTAGTTCCAGGTCCTTTGGGCAACTGAGAAGTACCTTGTTGGACAGATGAAGAGTGTAGCAAGATTTGAGGAGAAATTGTCGTGCCCCAAAGCAGACCAGGACACTGTTTGGCGGAGGTTCCCTGATAAGGTCACTTCCTGTACCAAAAACAACTCTGCAACTTTCGGACAACACTAAACCAAAGCCCAGTTGCCCAGTGGTGCCCTTTTTTCCTTTTTTTGGGGAAGGATTTCCCTTTAAAGTCAACCACCAAAAAAAGGATGCTTTTTCCTATGGCCACTGGGCATATGAGAAAGGCAGATCGATTTTCTAGGTTCTAGGGATTTGGCTCAGTCGGATGCTTGGCCGTGGCACCATATCGTTTTGCTAGATCAGCCGGTTGAGAGTTCCGATATATAGTTGGAGCCGGGCCGAGCTGAGCTTGTCCGTTGCTCACCCCCTGAGTTCCTGGACTTCGGGCTTTTTTGGGGAAGCTTAATTTCGTGGTAAGCACCAAAACACATTGACTCTTTTTCGTTTTGGCCACTCCACGCGAGAAGTGAGGAGTTGTCACTTGCGAGGTTCTCGCTTACTTCTGGCATTTCTCTTACCTGGGCCTGATGAGCGCCATGGCGTGACAGTCGCAAGGCGCAGGAGTTCGCAGTGGTCCATGTTCATTTGCGGCGGAGGGTTGTGGGCCAAAACCAAGGGTACCATTTTGGGGAAGGTGCACCACTCATTTTAGTCGATTTTAGTGGGCATTGGGATGTTCACTGGGGGTACGGGCTTTTGACCCATGGCCACATTGCGAAAACGCCTTCGGAGTTCAATCCAGCTGTTGTTTAGTCCAAACGAATCGCTTGGGGGACAGCTTGAAAAGGAAGCAGTTGGAGACAAAGCAACCATTTGGGCGAACTGTGAATGTCACTAGTATGTCGAATGAACGAGATTGTCGGGAAACGCGTGCGCGCAAACCCAAAACAACACGAAAGGGCAAGAATGCCGGATGGCTGGGCCTCATGTTGTGGGTCAGTTTTGCCTGCCTGCATCCAATTCCCACGCCGGTCATGGACCTCGAAGCAGAGAAAGAACACCCATTGTACCGTTTCAATTCTGGGAGCCGTGACTTGTGATGCAGTTTTCAAAAGGCTACATGTGTAAACAGAGTATGTTGAACTTTCCTGCCAGGTCAAGAATGCATGAGCAAATTGTCTTTGCCTGGTTGCCCTGCTCTGGGCATCCAAAAGACAAACAAAGAAGCCACCAAGTTACAAGGCAGGTTGCCAACTGTTTATGTCAAAGTCAATGACAATGAGGCAGTTTGATCAAGGCGCAAGGTGTTTTTGTCTATTTCTGCGGGTGTTAACCTAGTAGCAGCTACCCTCCCACCAACTAACATGCACCAACCAACATGGAACCTGACAGAGGGTCCCTTTAAAAGGAAATCGTCCAAACCAGGACCCCCCCCCCCCCAGCCCCCCGAACGTCAGGTTCCATGCGAAAAGGGTGGCAGGGCAATATATATATATATATATACATGTATATATTCATATGTACATATCATATCATCACCTTGTGCCTTCATCAAAATGCCTCAGTTGTCATTGATTTCGACCCAACCAGTTGTCAAATTACTTAAAAAGCTTGGTTGATCCAAGGCATTCTGATGATCAACATCTTGGTGGGGCTCATCTTCGAGGCCTATGGGCGCATCCGCTCGGGTGCCGGAGAGCCCCCCACGCTGCTGGAACAGGTGGGCGAAGCCGTGGACACCCTCAAGGAGCGTTTTTTTTTGCTGCAGCACCCCCTGTCGGAACCACCTGGGGAAATGGGAGGTTGCCATTTGGCTGTGGGTCAAAAAGAGGGTAACCCCAAAATAGAACCCTGGTAAATGGAAACATGGACTAAAACCTGCGGTCCCCTGGTGGTTTAATTTTGACCCATACCCATTTGGGTTTGTCTCAAAATAGACATCGGACCCTTTTTTGGGATGGGCTTGAGAAGGAAACAAAGAGGAAACCACCCGGAGGAGTTGGTCCCCATTTTGAGAAACAGCCGTGAGTGTTTGTTTTTCAAGGGTTCCCTTGTTTGCAACTGTTCGGACGCGCGGAAAGGCTTTCAGCAGAAGGATTATTGAGACCAAGCCAAGGCAACGTTGATGTCGTAAGAAATCCTTAGCTGTTTTTCAGAGTGCCCATGCTTTTGACCGTGTCCGCTAAAACCATAGCCCAACAGAAACATCCTCCGCTTTGCTCGTGGTCAGATGCTTCAAAGCTACCGGGTGCAAAACACTTCAACATGAACGATTGCTTTATCAACGCCTTGACAACGAAATAGACCTTGCATGCCGCGGCAGCCTCGTGCAAGCCATCGCGAGAGAGGGTTTACTTTTCTTCTCGGCCGCAGCTGAAGCAAGCCACTCCAAGGGTGCCAGAAGGGATTCTAGTTTCTATAAACAATGGTCATGTCTGGCTTTTTTGCAAGGAGACGAAGAGTTTCCTGGACATGCGCCTGGGCCATGGAAGGCAAGAGAGCATTTGGGGTATTTTGAGGGTGCCCTCGTTTTGTGGTCCAAAAGGGGAACCAAACGGAACACCACCATCTTCAGGGTCCCCCTTTTCTGACGCATCCCCAAGGAGTGAGCAGGCGATATCTTGAAAAGGAATCACATTCACGGAAGGCTGGCAGGTTCTGGGCGGTGCTTGGATTCCAAAGCATGAAAGTTACCGGCGCCAAAAAAAAAGATGTTCCTCAAAAGGGCTGCGCAGATCCAGGTTCAGTGGAAGTGTGCCGTGGATTCGTTCAAGTAGCTCCAAACCCGAGAACCCCTTTGATTTTTTTTTGCGCAAGGCGCAAGGCAGGGTAATTTTTGAAGGCAGCGAGAAACCAGGCCCGCGGGGATGCGAAGCCGGTTTCTACTGATGGTTCCCCAACTTTGTTTGGTGGTTTTTCGAATTGGACGTTGAGGCCTTACGATGGCCGCACGCATTGAGTCATCAAAACCTGGTACGAAAATGGTGGCCGCACGCGTTGATGGCTGGGATTATCTACTACACTCCAATTATCCGGGGTTTGATTGTGACTCACTGGCGTCTTGTTTGGAAAGAACCTAGCCAAAATTGAAAGTCTTGGCGAGGTGAGGGAGTTGTAATCAGCGCACTGAGTAAGTCGCGGATTGAATTTGAAGTTTGATCGGAGGCATGCCGGTTCAGTGGGGAACCACCACCCCAACTATGATGTTTTATGGTCAGCTTACCTAAGGTCTGAGTCTTGCAGTTGTCTAGTTGCAGATGATGCTGGTGATGCGAATGTTTGATGTGTGGGACGTGCTGGCTGCTCATACCGGTCGGCTTTTTCGGTTGGTGCTGCTGATTTGTTTCTCCCGACTTGTATCCCTGCATTGGACTTCCTTGCCTTCCTTGCGCCTCTTTATTGGCATGATGCACATTCCCATGGTTGTTGCTGGGAAACATGTTACATGTTTGATCTTCTTGTGGTTTAGTGGTTGAAATCCAACCACTTAGCTGCTAAAATTCATTTTTTTGCTCCCCTTCCAACACCAAGCAAGCGCTTGGTTCAAATGCGTAGATCGGGGGAGGGCTTTGCCAGTTTTTCGGGTTTTGCAAAAAGTGTCAGAATCCACAAGGGTTTCCACTAATTATAATCCAGCCACCACTCCAGATAAGTCGGCATAAAACAAGAAAATGTATCCATGGTTCGGTGGCCTTTGCAATTTGCTACCCCAGTTTGGGGAAGTGAGGCCCTTTCAAAGAAGAGCCCTCGTGAATCTACCAGCGACGTACACTTGTTCATCACTAGCTCGAGTTGGGCCCTTGATATGGATTTTTTGTTTAGCTTAGTTGGCCCAACTTCCATGTTGTCTCCTTGAACCATCAGCTGAGGTGGTACATCATTTGCGAGTTGGAAGACGACGACTTCCCTGCGCACCCGGCGCCCACTGTGACGGTGAGGAGCCTGAAAAAGGCCTTCGCCAAAGACAGGAGACTTTTTTTTTTGTGCGAGGTGTTGGGGTTTTGAACCTTTCAATTGGTGGTTTCCCCCAATGCTAACCCCGGATCTAAGTAGAACCCCTGATTGATTTTGATTAGGGGGGTGTCCCCTTTTAGTGGAGATTCATCACTTTTTGGAGGGAGCACCCCCCTAATAGTGGGACGGGTTTATTAAGCCTGGGTCAACATTAAAGGAAATCACGCAGTTGGATGATTTCTCTTGTCAGTCCAA